CTTCGTATCGCGTCGTGACGAACGGGAACTGCGTTCGTGACTTCCTGAACATGAAAACACGCAGCGACATGTTTCGCACTGCCTCTGATACCCCTTCGTCATGGCCTGCATTCTCAACACGGGGGGGGGGGGGGATACTGATACTTGCTCAGCTGGCCAACAAATTGATCGCTTTTAATGAAGCTGGGCCCAAAACCACGGTTTCTTCCTTTGACTTTCATTAACGAAAATTGTGTGTGTATTTGATATTTCTCCCAAGCCCCTATCAATGTCTCTTTCGTACATTTCTCTGCACTGCCCGTAACCCCCCACCCCACCCCGCGCGCTGTTCTAAAACACCTCGCATTTGCACCAGAACGACAGACCGAGTTTTACACCCGTATTATTTTATTGCAATCCCTACATCCCTGCGCAGGGTTTGGGGTTATGGAAGGGAATTTTATGACCTCTATCCCTTCGATCTGTCTTTCCCAGACCCTGCAACCTTGCGTCGTCTCGACTTACCTATTTTAACAGAACTGACGAAACACTGTTTCGATGATATAAAGGGCCAGACAGAGAACGTACGTGAGGTTGCATGTGTAATGACGATGCATCAACCGCTGAGATAATTTCAGAACTGCGACGACCGACAATGAGAACAATTTTAAAGTTATTACGACACACAGAATCGACTGAGCTTGTCAAGATGAACACCTAATCTGCTGGCCGAGCTCAAACCATACGATGGCCGCCGTACATCTCCTGAAAGAATCGACGATAAACAATACGTCGGATTTGCGTCTGTAAAGACGAAACCGCTGACTTTCAGATTCCAAAGTCTCTTGACTGTCCTTTCTGGGATCAACAGGTCACGGAGGCATTTATAAACACGAATGACCTAACGCCACTTTGTCGCTGCAGACGGGCGGCAGGAAGACAGCGTTTTCCTTGACGGACGGACGGACAGGAAGCACAACAGAGCTGTTCGTCACCGCACCAACAACGAAAGAAATTATGAAGAACAATCTCAACGGCATCGCGAGTGATTAGGCAGCCTGAGACGCACAGTTGACAGGAACTGGTCCACTGGCTGGCGCTGCTCGTGACTCACCTGTTTCAATCGAGGGATCACCGCTGCTTCCAGCTTCTACCACTGGCGCTGCCGACCCAGGCATTGCTCCTCGAGAGGTTCAGCCTTGTATTGTAACGCACAAGAGACAATTCCGCTCTGCGAGATCGGCTCCAAGTGAAGGGAGAGTGGAGAGGATCGCACGTTCGCCGCGACCCATTTGCATACACGAACAGTCGAACGCATGCAAACTACGTGCTACGCGGTCGTCGACTACAGGACCGCCTTCTGATCCATTACGTCGACACTGCAATTCTCTCACCTTCCGGATCACGCGCTGTTAACTGTGCGCAGATCATCTGCCACCTACACAGCTATTCTTGGAAACGTCACTCACAAAGGGCAGTCCTTAAGAGAAATATGAACAGAAACCTTAATGTGGAACACGTTTCATTGCGCCTTGGGGCAAAACACTGCATTTCACATCAGAATAAATCAGCAACCAACAGAAATAATCCCTTCTTTGTGAATCGCGGTATCAGATGACTTGTTGCAACACAGGAAGAAATAGCTTGAAAGAACTTCACAGCCACTTCGCTGGCGAGGTTCCAAGAAACTTCTCGCAGATGACACAGCTTTCAAAAACACAACTTGCACTCACTCACTCACTCGGTACGCCCCGTCCGAATCAACCCCATAATAACAAGTGGTTTTACTCCGCGAGGCTGCAAGACTCTGCCTACCCACGCCAAGGCCTCCCCCCCTCCCCCTCCCCCGACCAGACAACAAAACTACACGAATCTGGGAGAAATGGAATGGAGATAAGGACGCTTTCGGGCGCGCCATTCACTAAACCGCGGTCGCCTGTACCGAAGGATTGTGCAACGAAGAAAAAGGTTAAAGTCCTTGGTATGCAGAGAACCACAACTGACTGCACTTTCTAATGGCATCATCGTTTGTACGACAGAAGAAACGTCGATTATTCTCCGCGAAAGACATCGTTCGCTGAATGAAAAGGGTTGAAGACCAATCAGAGCCAGACTTCTGAGGTCTACGTGACGGAGAGTCCGAAGACGGCCGTCTTCTGGGTTGTAGCGCCGTGTAGCCTCCTAGTAGTTTACCGTTTCGGAGGTCCTTGCTGCCTCCATCATCAGGGCGATGACTGAAACGTTGGTAAACTTCTACCAGACGACGGCCATCTTCGGCGTTTGTGCACTTCGCTTTGCCAAGGCGCGTAGCACGAACGAGGGGAAACAGGAAATACGTACTTAAAATTGTCAGGAAAATCTCACGAGAAACCGGTGTTTACCGGCTTGAATGTCAGCGCGCGAGGAATGCGATCCAGGGCCTGGTCAGACGGGAGTTTCACCTGCACCAGAGAGCCTTAATAATAGCTACACTTTACGACGGTGCAGAACTCTTACCTAACTCATTGCTTACACGATGTAATGGGACCCCTTACCAGCAATAAAAGTGTATCGAGGTCGCCAGTACACGGCGTGTCATAAAACGGATTACTCCTACTCCGGCTCATTACGAAATTCACAAAACCAGCGACCGGACTCCGTCCTCAGGAAGACGCCAGTCTTCGTCGTACCTGTGTCACGAGAAGCGTTTACCGTCGTCTCACGAGGACCAGCAGCGGCGATACATTACAGCTGTCATTCTACTTTGGGTTTGAGACAGGTTTAATTCCGTGCGAAGCCTCTGATCTTAATCACGTTTTAACAAGAGACAAATCACGAGTTGACACCCTTCGAAGTCTTGGATACCCCCGCGCCAAACCTCACACCGCTCACGGCACGCCGAATGATGTTCGTTGGTTCTGTTCCTGGTCTGATGTACGGAAATTCTGAACAGCGTGTGGCTTGGTTGGGCGAGATAACAGGGCAGCTGATATCAAGTACGACCTAGCGCCAGTCTGACGCCTCGACGCTACCTCAAGGCGATCAGCGCACAAGCGTTATCGTGAGATAAGCGGACCGAAAATATCTGTGAAGGGAGTGAACACACACACACGACACAGAATTACAAGCGGAAAATTTCTTTTCGGGCAGAGAAGTCTTGAACCCGTTCCTTCCGAAAGCGCCGGGCGGACACGCCGAAGGTACGTTTTATAAAACGTCTTGTAAACAGAAAATTAGCAGATAAAGGAAGGGACTCTCGTCTGAATGTTCACTGGAATCGATTTCAAAACGAAGATCCAGTCATAAACGGAAAAAAAGACTCTTTCGCCGAATGCAGAATTCCTTTATGCAGCACAATTGACAAGCGAAGAGAGTTCGCGAGGGAGTGGCACTCGGAACACAACGCAGCTTCACAGTGGATTCGAATGGATCGGAATCCACGGCTATCGAAGTGACATGCAGCTCCTGTCGGATTCCTGCCACACAGACATGCGCGTCGATGTACCTGGGACGGATGTCTGGACTGACAAAAGCTTCAGGTGCAGAGACTGAGGAATACCACGAAAGAGCGAAGTCAGAACAGCCGGCCTCGTGACGGAAGGAGATTTGCCACGAAGGGCGAGATTAGGCAGTTTGATGTTACATTTGTATCAAAATGAGAGCCACTTTCGTCTGACGTTCGACTTGCGGGCCGTCTCGGAATCGCGGGCATGGGGTTGGCTCTGCGATACTTATCCAGACACGTGATCGCATCGTAAATAACCAGCTGAGCAACCACGAGCTTCTCAGCAAGGGCCCTATCCCATGAGACAGAGCAGACATAGTTCACTGAGGATGACGACCGCAATTTGACTTCGGCCAAATTCATCCAACGCGCTGCATCGCTTATTCATTCCTGTCGTTCATCGTTAAATATTCCCCATATCGAAAAACGCTTCAAACAGAATTCGTAGTTGTCAATCAGCCCCGTTTACCTGCGACACGCCATTTGTGATTAATTTTATGAACCCGAATCAGACACGTCGTTGAACTGACAGGTGACAGATTTCGGTGCCGACCGCGAAAACGGAACGCGCTGACGAGCGTCTTGGTTAAAAAGAAATGAGAAACGTCGCTGTTAAAAGGGCGTGAAACTTATTTTGTCCAGAGTTTCACATTCCTGTCCCATGAAAACATTTCAGCGAAGTTCAGGCGGCTCGCTGGTCGCGTTTTGAGCACCAAAGTGAAACGAGAGAGAGAGAGAGAGAGAGAGAGACAGGCGAGCAGATAAGCGAAACAATGAGGTGGCCAAGTGGCCGCCCACGCAGATTCACTTGCGACGATCTGTGAGAGAAAGTCGCGGCTTTGCTATCAGACTGGAGATCGGCGGCAGAAATTATCTACTCCGTATCAGTTAAGAGAACGAAGGCTGAGAATATCGTCGGCTCATGACAATAAAATTCAGCAGTGACAGATTGACAAGAAAAAGAACCCCTGGCGTGTCTTAAGGCACTGGCGTCCACCCTTCAGGGTCACATGCCCACGACTGCAGTAAATTCTGCGATCAGTTCCACATTTTGAGGGTCGGTGACTTCAGTGCCTGTGCGACGAACAGACGAACTTTCACCTCTAAGCAGTCACCGTTATTACAGCCCCCCTGAACCTTGCCTCGGCAACTGGTGGGCTCCAGACCGGAACGAGGCAACAGACAGACCGACTGCAGCGTAATTAATGAATTAACGAAACTCAGAAGGAATCAACAAAAGCAACTGTAAAACCAATGTCACTTAGTAAATGGCCGACGAGATTCTGTGTTACAGACGCAAACAAAGAGATTCTGTCCACGCATTGCGCTGAGCGCACCAACGCCGCGCCGCGAATCAATTAGGGTCTTTTGTGAAAGTCGTGGCTAGGGATTTGACAGGTGGAGCCTTGCCCAGGGGTGACCATGCTCACCAAACCAATGACAATTAAAACTGTAAGAAATTGTCGTGTTCATTATAATATAGCACCGTTTATATCGCAGTTTTTCGACTTGAATCCCCTGAAAGATGATGATGCGGCTCTGGAAGAGTGCGGACGGACGGAGAGACAAACGGGCTATTTATTTATTTATTTATTTCAGAGCTACGATACTCCGGCAGCTGTCACCAGAGGCACATCGACCCAGCAGACATCCCTGAGGGCCTGAGTAAAATACTGGAACTGTGACTCCTGCACCTGAGAAAGAGGCGAACTGCAACCCGTCATGCATGGCGATTGGGGAAGGAGGCGACCGTGTCCTATCCCCGTGACTATTCGGCATTCACGTGGAAAAACAAAGAACAAGGAAGAGAGCGAAGAAAAGATAATCCGAGGTTGATCTCGCGGCCCACCAGAAACGGCAACCCGCAATCCCGTTCTGAAGGAGCCATTAAATTTCTACCTTGAGCAGGTTATGACACACTTTTCCACGAGCAGATATGCATCACGCCCCAGGACATTCTAAATGCCAGCGTAACCTATGGCGAACAGCGCCGTCACACTGCCTAATCTCATCTCCAGATCCAATCCATCACCTCTCACTATTCGGCCCCTGTTCTGTCCTTCAGATAATCCGCGAACTCAACCGCGCGCCACCAACGTCTACGAATTATCGAAAAGTCACGCCTCGTTCTTACGAAACTTGCCAGAGAGAGTTTAAGGATACATTTCCCGATTATTCTTTGCCGAACCAATCGGCACTATCCCGTCTGGCGACACAGAACTCTCCAATCGGGCTTCATCAAAGGCTTTCTTTGGCAAATGGGTTGCGTGACTTCTCGATCATCCTGTACTTCTCCGAATCGCGGTGTCACGTGTGGGGAAGGGGGGGGGGAAGGGTCGTTATCTGCAAAATACGAAGCCGCCAATGCATCAGCCTTGTGATGACAAGTTGCGCCAGATAAGAACACAACTAGAGTCAGTCAGTCGGCGAGACTCATGCATCCATCATGCACGGCCAGCTGTTAAATGACGACAATTTACACCGCCGCGAAGCCGTTTTAAAAGAAAACGGGATCCATTTCTAATCTCCAATTTCCTGACTGAGGGTTGTCCATGGTTTTTCTCAGCTCCTCGACAGGAAAATTTGACTTTCCACACACGCGAATTTTCGCCCGTCGTTGAAATAATAGACCTCAAACAAAAACCACGAATATCAATCAAGAGGTCAGTTCTGCTTAAGAAATGATCGTGAATGCAGACTTGTGAATGTCATCGAAGACCACTGTGATCTATAAAGAGTCAGGCCCTCCACTACAGAGCGCGGTTTGTCTGTGCTTAGTTCACTGTTGCTGGGAACCAATGCGCTGGATTAATTACCTGGCGGCTGGAGCCCGGAGCGCCCTCCGGCTACTGGACAAGCCGTGGATGGGTGACTCATGCCTGCGCGAGGCAGAAGTTTGTCCAGCGCGGGGTCGTACGAGGTCATTTATTGAGATTGTTTCACTCAGCGGAAGACGGCTTAACGCAACGGACGGCGAGGCGAGGAATTCTGTTGCCAGGGAAACGAAGCCTCATCGGCGTCGTCCTATTTGCATATGACAGGAGCTCATTTCCGACGTTTCGGAGGCAAGCTACATGTCTCGATCTTTTAACACCCCCGACGATCATACGAGGAACGCGAAGAATGCATTAGGCTGTCGCTTGCGTTCACTCGCAGAACTGCCAAGAGAAGAGCCCAGAGCAAACTTTGTCTGAGAGCGAATCATGTGTTCTTTCTGCTGAACAATTGTAAGCCTCATTCGCTGCCAGCCGCTCGCCGCTCGCCGCTCGCCGCAAGAAGATTACTCGTATTTATCTTGGTCTCTCCTCATGCGTAATAAAATAACCGTGGAAATCGTG